CCAGCCGACACACTTTTACCCAGGTGGTCCCCTCGCAGTTTGAAGGAACCCAGGTGAAGCTAAACAGAAGCCCCTGGTGTTGGTTTCTGTCAGAAGCTTGTAGTGAGTCGGAGGATAAACATTGCCCACTGCATTCCTTTGTGTTTCCTCGTGGGCTTCTTCCTAGATCCCCACGGTGCTCGAGTTCCTGTTGTTCCCGGTCCGAAACCGTCCTCAGAAGCTCTGCGCTCCAGAGCATTTTCCAGAACGACCCTTTTCTTTCCTTCCTCCGGTGCCCCCTCTCTGCCCAGCCCATCTAGTTACAATTGTGTCTGACAGTGGGTTTGCTGCCTCTGGGAAGAAAGAAGCATGTTGGTCCTCATTAAGCAAGCTGGATCTGGATCAGAAAGTATGGCTGGCTAATGTAGAACAACTTCATTAGGATTTACCTTCCTACATTGTGAAGTCAAGGATTCATGAATGCCACTCCATTATTTTGGAGGCAAAGATGGGGCCCAAGTGTGCCTGTCTGCAGGAGAAGTTTCTGAAGCAGAAGGTGGAGGTGAGGTTTCCTAAGGAGCTGCTTTGCCAAGGGGGAAGCACCTGCAGAAGGACTGGCCCCGGACCCTGTTCGGGTTTACCACTCTGGTACGGTTAAAATCGCACTCAGAACCCCCTTTTGTACTTCAATCTCTCCATGCATGGCTCTGGTCACCCTCGATGGCAGGCATTTTCTGGTAGCTTGTCTGCAGGGTGTCCCGAGCACAGCTACTCTCCTTACATTCCTGTCACACTCGAAGTAGGTGGGGAGCAATACAGTCAGATAGGGGTGTGACTCTTGAGACTGAAAAGAACCTGTTTAGGAAAGGAGGCTGTTCATGGAGAGAACTCATACCTGAGAAGGTTCCAGGCGGTCTGTGGCAGTGGCTGGACCTCAGAGACAGAGGTCATCAACATGGGGGTACACAGAGTGGTTTGCTTTGGGAAATGAGATTCCCTGGGAGCGTAATTTGAAGTTTAAAGTGAAACTGAAAGGCCACATTCTGGGAGTGTCATAT